ATTGAACAATAAGAGTAAAAAAAATCAGATGCCACAAAAATACAATTAGTAAAACTACAATAGATCTAGAATAAGAATTTGTATGCATCAACTTTCAAAAATGAATAAACTTTACAATTTCAGATAAAACCTAATTGAAAGCCAAAATCTTTTTTTCCTCCCAAGAGGGACCCCAGAAGTTCCTGTACAATCAAATGGTCTCAGTGTTTGACCCCTCCAACATGAGGGATGGAGATGTTTCTGTGCACCAGTCCGTTATCCAAAAAGGAAGCTGTCAGTATGGTTATACTGAGATTTAAAATCTGATTGGTCGGCCATTGTGGCAGTCTGTCACCTAACCACATAAAGAACAGAGTTAGCCCTGCACACTAACAGGCTGACAAATAAATCTCCTTTTCAAAGCGCTACTAGAGAAAATAATAGAACAGGATATTCCGATTTTATTATACAGATTCTTTATATAAAGAATTTTGGACATATATATTTTCCATTTTTTTTCTTATTATTTGAACAGTTGTTGCAGGATGACCACACCCTCATGATCTGAACTGTTTGACAGAATCTGAATAAACCCACCAGGAACCTTTATTGCCCCCACAGACAGACAGTTCTTAGACACAATTTATTGGCCTTCTACATAAGAATGTAAGCAGCAGAGGAACATGAACGACGACAAGGAAGAATATCCAGATTATATGAACCAGAGAGAATCCCAGTCATTCAGGCAGCATCAAATATACAGCAGTCTCACTCAGTAGACTCTTAAAGGATGTGTAACCTTCAGTAGCATCAACCTAGAGATTCACTAAAGATATTGAATCATTAGCGAACCTTTTGATGGATTTAATGTAAGGATCAGACATGCATTAGTCAGCATCTGTTCTCCAGGATCCAACTCTAAAATGTTTTTTTAGGAATAGATTCAGTTCCTTTAACTGTTGTTTCTTCATGTTGGGATTCCTGAGCAGCAAAACAGTCTGACAGTGATTCAAGCTGTTCTGGGTGTGATAGCATCTCTCCTCTACAAGTCTTGAATTCGTCCTGTAGGAGCAGAGAGCGGCTCATGAGGACTGAACCATTAGCAGGACGTATACAGGAAGTCCCAGAAAGCCGACCCGCAGCTTCTGTCTCTTCCTCCTTGGTTCTCAGTTCAGTTTTGAGTTTCCTTCAGCTTGTGCCATGGCTGCTGGACTCGAAGACACCCTTCTTGAAAAATGGAGAAAACTCGCAGATGTCAAACTTGGAGAGACGGTAAACTCCATCCTCATCTGCTCTGAGTGGAGAACCTGAGGAGTTCAGCATGACCTGAAACAGCTTCCTGAGGTGAGTCTGTGGATGACAAAGATGCACCATCTCAGAAATAAGCAGAACTTAGAGGAACCAAAACATCAATAACATAATAAAAATATTTTTTGAGCGCCCCTAGAAAATTTCTCAATAAGTCACATAATCATAAAGCCTCATTAATCCACAACATTCTAATGATTATAATGATCTAATAATAATCAAATTTTCGTTTGTG